TGTGAGAGCTGTGTGCAATTCTGCAATTTGGTGAGCTCGGCACATTAAGCTAAATGAGATTCATGGGAATTCTAGCGCATGAACAAAAATTTGAGACATGTGTGATGATGTCCTCGCAAAACAGATTCAATCTTGGGCCTCATGAAACACTGCTATCAGTGACTATTCGATCTGGCCATCCCAAAGCAACTCTTGCTTCAAAAGCTTCTTTTTTGCTTTTAGCAAATTTTGGCTTCAAAGAGAGAATCAAAAGTGGAAATCAAGCCCTCAGGTGGGCCGGACTCTATGATGTCGCGAACTTTAGATGTAAGGTCAACAGATATCAAAGACTTCAGGCTGCAAACTCTTGAAAGGAGAACATAAACGATTAAGAATTTTATGTCGGATGTTGCTCTTGATGGAAAATTAAAATGCACAATGATTCCTGGCTTAGCTGTCGTGCCCTGGAGACCCGTACAGTGGGCATGCCTTTTCTGGCATTATGCCAAAGGTTGTTCGCTCCACGGTAGTTGAAAAGTCTTTGTCTTGAAAGTACCACTGATAGGTTTGAGGCTTCACTTGGATGAGGCCTGGGTAACTTTTGCAATCAGCACACGAAGAATGAAAGCCAACAAGCTGGTGTTCAGCACAGGGTGTTGGAGGCAAGAACTCCAGCTCACAGGCATCCAGCTGCACATAGATGGCAGCAGGAAGCACTTTCAACAAAATTTCTCCAGGACAGTTTCCATGATGCACTGGTTCATGGCCATTTCCAAAGTCGATCGATACGACAGTTCCGGTGGAGTCCTGAACTGCCCACGGTGGAAGAACAGGTGTGGTCAAACGAACGCGCATGCCAATGTGAACATATGCAATTCCCGGAAGGCGCTTGGTCGTTGAAAGACTTGGTACACGCAGCATCTCTACGTAGTGTTCTTTCAAAGCCACTTTTGCTGGTTTGTCCACTGCCTGCATTAAAAGCAAGGGAGTGTTGGCCGCTGTTGCTGATTCCCTGGCCTTCAAATAAGCGATCATGGTTACAATTGCCCACAGGTAACTGCTGTGGTAAAAATCTTGCGCGCGGTGAAAAAAAGATGGGTCTTTCAACTGATGTTCGAGTTTTGTTGCATCTAATGCCGTCCACTCTTGCTCCGATAATTTCCTGCCGCCTGGTGTTCTCATCTTGGCGAGTATGGAGCGAAGTGTGTCGTCATTAAACCGCATTGCGGTACTCATGGCTATGACGGCCGGCATATTTGAAAAGATCGCAGCCCCTGTTTTGTGCTCTGGAGTTGCATTGTCTAGTGGTGCCAGTAACGATGTTCGCTGTGGCACTGGTGGAAGCTGCAAATGATCTCCACTAAGTAGAACGAAGCCCGTTTTTCCAAAGGTTTCCCAAATCGCAGCATACGCACTAAATAGCAGATTGTACAGCAGTGCCCGCGTATACGTCATTCGCAGGCAAACTGCGCGCAAAAGAGCTGCTTGAACTTGTGAGATTTCATCCACTATCACTGCGCCAGCTCGGCCCATTGTCGCTTGCAGTTTCTTTCTTTGGTCATCTTTCGTAATTTTGAGATGAGGGGTTTTCAAAGAATCTCGCGCCGTGAGCGCGCAAAGACTATGCAGTGTTTTACCGCCCAGCAATCGCGCCGCTTTGTTTGATGCGGCCAACAAGCAATTTGAATTTCCATAGAACGTATGCAGGACGGGGTGTAACACTCGCAGGATGAGCGTGGACTTCCCCGCCACCCATCAAGATTGCACGAACAAGTGGCACATCTGGTGGCAGCATATACGTTTCTTTATTGTTGCGATTTTCCCAATATTTTTGCAATGGATAGATGAGTAAGGCTATAGACTCGACTTGTTCCTGATTGAATGGAAATTTTTTCAGTAGCTGCAAGGTCACATGCACAGGTCCCAACCAGGCATCTTCTAGAGAAACTACGCGTGTTTCTTGCATCTGTTTGTCAGCATTCCTCTTCAAAAGCTCCTGCAGCTGACGAACAGCAGCTTCAGTGGAAAGAGGACCAGATGCTGATGTTTCTGTTGGGCACATCGCAAGAGAATTCTCTCGATAGTGCTTGCTGAGCATACTTTGCTGGCCAGCCGCAGTTGCAGCGCATGGAGGAAGTTTAGAAGGGCATTGTTTATTCCATGTTTTTGCTTCCAAGGGTGTATTCAAGCGGCTTCCGAACCAATCAGAAAAGCTTTTCACTTGAATGTCTGATTCACGTTTGCGCCCCGGTTTGGACAGGCGTTCCAATTCAAAAGTGCGACACATGAGGCTTTGACATTCATCAAGACTGACTTGAAGATTTGGTTTCAGAATCCTTTGGTCATCAAAGAATTCGTCTTCGTCAAAATCAATTTCTTCTCCATCTCCTTCCAAAAATTCGGAATGCTGAGGACGTGTTGCCTGGCGATCGGCATCGCTGTCGGTCTCATCCTGCGCGTTGTCAAAGTTCTGGCTTTGCTTTTCCAATGGTTTGCCTTTGGCGAGACATTGCAAATTCAAATTCTTCATGAGAAGACGAGACGGCAGCGCATTGAATTCGCTTAGGTGCAACTGCTGCTCGTGCATTCCGGAAGGTTGGTGCAAGTAATTGCATACTGTTTGGTGCAAAATGTCCCAAGCACCTGGACACTTCAAGAAAAACATTCGCTTTAATGTCACTGCAAAAAAAAGTTGCTGCGGAGTAACAAAAGGTGGCCACCAGGTTTTTGTTACTGCAATCTTGTGGGATAGTTGTTCCTTTTTTTCGGCTTTGACTGCCAAAACATTTATGAATGCTTTCTCTGCCTTCCATCCCGGAGAAAATGCATGCAAAGTTTGCCGTCGCTGCGGCTTAAAAGCAAAGTTTCGAAACATCAATGGATCTGAGCAGCATCCAGGCCCTGGGCAAAATGTGTCTCCGAACAACACCAGGTTGTATTCAGCATGTTCTTCCATTGAATCATGCGTGCAGGGTGGGCAGGCACACCCAACCAATCTTGTGATGCGAACCCGATTTCGAATCTGTTGGCAGTAGAGATGCGATAAGGCATAGTGAGGTTCAAATGGATAATAGATCTCTGCACTGTCTGCGTTGACTTTTGCAGGCTTTCGGACACGGTGCACGCGAGATGCGTAAACAATGAAGGACAATGGTCTCAAAATTTCTCCGCGATGAAGCCAATCATCATGCAAGGAAGTTGTTGTTCGCAAAACGGCAAATGTTTCGTTGTTTTGTTCTTCCTGGGTTTGGTCGACTTTATCTTGATCATCTGCGCTGGCTAATTCTTCTTCGGCATCATCTGGATCTAAGTTGTTTTCAACATCTGATACTTCCAGCCCATTGTCATCCGGCTCTTTGATTTCCACTGCATTGATGTTGACAGCTGCCGGCTCAATCAAGGCAAAATTGGAACCATTAAGCAACCGAATGCATTCCTTTACAAGAAACAAGCAACGAGACAAAAATAAAGGAACCTCGTCATGCGAGCACCAAAAATGAGCACCCGTCATCAAGGTACTTGCCATCTCTGTGGTGGACACCCAAGACGATCGATTGCAAGCCATAGCTAGGCGCGTGACAATGCGTTTGGCCTTTTGGTGAGTTGGCAATGGCTCAGCTGTTGCGAGTTCATTTTCCAGCCTCTCCAGCCCTAACGCAAATTGAGTTACCACATTTTGGAGCATCTCCATTGGTTTGCTTTGATATTTTGTGATGTAAAAATCACAATTGTGAGAGGCGACATGCAATGCAACAATAGACCGAACAACCTTTTTTAACAAAGGCGTATGCAACTCCTGAAGAGGAATATTGCAGCAAGCAGCGAGCTGCAACTCTGAACACTTCATTGCAACACCTGTTTCATCTGGAACGCCCCTGCCCATTTATCGGAAATCGGAATTGCATCGGCAACTAACTTGGATAACATCATTAGTTGGAGATCGAAAAGGCATGTTGCGAATTGCCTGCGCAAGTCCGAACTCATTTTGTGAGTTGGTATTGGCAATGTAGGGGAAAGATACCAAGTCTTTGCCGCGGCGTCTGATTTTGTGAATAACGGCATCAATCCCTTTTTTGAGCTTCAATGATACAATCCGCCAAAAATTGTGTCGGCACCCCGGTGTTTTCTTTCCTTTCAATAGTTCTGCTTTTTCTGCAATGGTATTCTTGGAATACTTGAGACAACTGGCTGTGCAAGCATGAGTATGATTGTTGCAATGCAAGAGCCGGAAGTCGCGCACATACGATTCTGCCCATGATTTTGCATCAACAAGAATATCTGCCGGTGTAGCGTCTCCATCTTGAAGAAGAAAATTAGTTATTTCGCCATCTTTATTTACAACCCAGGGAAAATCAGAAGGGAACTCAGCCACACGATCATTATTCAAGCAACCATCTTCTGTGGTTGTGGCAATGTCCAATATACGCGTTGGCAACCGATAGTGGGGAAGAATGCTGAGTTGGCAGGCGGTCAAATCTATTTCTTTGTAGCTGTGTCGAGGGCTCCTGCGTTCATTGGCTGCGGCTTGTGCCTCGGCTGCCACATGTGCAAAATCATCCGGGTCACGGATTGGTATAAGCATTCGTTGTGTTTCCCCATCCATTTCAAGCAAACCGTCAAATTTGCTGAGCTGCTGCTCCTTTGCAGAGAATGGCTCGTCACGGACAGTGATTCCCATGGTTTTTGCAGGCAAGCTCGCAGATTCAAACTGACATGAAGTAGCAGTTGCAATCAACTGGCTATTCAGCTTTTGAATCTTTTCGTTTAATATGGCCTCCATGTTGTGGCAAGCAGGGTGGCTGCCTTTGCACGCCGCGGTTTGCAAAATTTTGTCTAAGCTAGTTAAAGCACTAGGGGTGCTGTAAATTTTGCGGTGGCCATGAGGAATGCAAGCTGCCTTGAGATTCCAGTGGTTCAAACACAGCTTCGGTGAAGCCTAGCACTCCGGGAACTCCAGTAGAAGCCCAATCATCTTCTTCTATGCTTGCACAATTGCGTGGCAGTGACAGAAAACCAATCCTGGCACTAGTGCAGAAAAGATGCCTGTATGACAGTTCTTCCAAGAGTAGAAACAATTTAGCAGTTGCAGCAGGACATCCAACTGCGAGTTTGTGCATGGTTTGCAAAGAAGGCAACAGAGGAGCTTGACGCTTCAAATTCAATGAAGCGTCGCCGGTCAACTGGTAAAGCAATGGATGATATCCATCAGCGAAGTTGTGCGTGGAAAAGCCATTTAGGGCGCCGAAAAACAAGTTCAAACCATGGCCAAGGTGCCTACACCGTTGTCGGTATCCGTCAGTAAGAGGAACCATACTTGTCGAAAAAAGTAACTGACGCAATGCCAGCTGCACTCGTCGGCATGTTTTCGTAGAGTTTGCCATGCTGATGACATCTTGCGACTGGTTTGCTTGCAAAAAATCGGCTGCAGAAGCTTGCGAAATCAATCGAACGTCTTCTTCAAAGCCTTGCCTCTCAAAAGCAGCGTTCACAGATTGCAAAAGCTTCACGCGGCGAACATTATCTCCAAAAACACAGCAAAACTCGGCGGCGTCGAACCGCGACTTGTCATTTGCTTTGTAAGGTGCACCTGGGTCGTCTGTTTCTACAGAGTATTCAAGTTCCTCTCTCAAGAGAAGACTACGAAAAATATCTTCGTGTGAAACATTGCGGTTTGGTCGGCTGCACATGTTGGGCGCGCAGTCTCCATAGAAAAATTCGACGAAGCATGTCGGATATGTCTCGGCGTCAAAAGCCGAAAGCGGAGCTTGAGTTGGCACAGCCACCGCCATAGCTTGCGCATTAAAGCGGGAAGATGCTTCATCAGACTTCGTAGGCGGCGGATCTGACACGGTCATCTTTGCAAGCAAATCCGGAAAAATATGTTTGTTGGTTCGCAACAGCTTTTTCATTTCATGTTGCACATCCAAAACAATTCTCTTGCAGCGCTCTTCCGAGCCAGTCGCTGCTGCCACATCTTCAACGGATTCGGATTGATGCAATTGGTGCAGTTTCTGTCCTTCTTTGTTTAAAAGCTCCAACTTGGCGCGCATAGCTTCGAAATGCTGCACTGGCTTTGGATCTTGCATGAAATCAATGCCAATGAGAGTTTGTGGAGCTTTGCTTGGCGTGTCAAAATTGCAAACTTCATGCGTTTCATCGCATCCCGCATCTTCTTCACCGGGTTCGTTTTTGCCCAATGGATCGCCTCTGGAGGCGGGTCCAGGCATTTGGGTCTGAAGCGATTCTGCTTCTGGCAACGAAACGGCTGATTCACCAAACGCCTGCGGTACTCCATTCTCCGGCAGCTCCCTAGCAGCTGCTGCAGCAACCTCAACTGCGGAAAAAAGTGGACAAATCTGTTTTCGGAGTTGCAAGCAAGCAAAATATTCCGATCTGTTTACCACTAAAGCTTTGCAATTTTTAACATCGTCTACACTGCGACAAAAAAACGATGCAAAATGAATCCAAGGTTTTGCTCAAAGCTGGCAAAATATGCGTTGGTGTCGCTTCCGCTTGCGACAACAAGATGGTGTTTCCAATTAGGCCTTTGCCAGCCTCGTCTCGCGGACCTTGTCCCAAGAAAATTTGGCGCATGCAAGCACGTCCCTTTCCAAGCAATAGTCGCGTCGCAATATTTAGATCTTTGAAGCGGGGATGCTGTCGTCCCAACCACATCAAGTTGGCCAGTGCCAAAGGAGGCATTGTTGGATGCGTTGGACGCCCCAAATGTAGCAAACACTCCTTGCAGACCAAAACTGTGGCATCTACTGCCCCTATTCCGGCAGATCTATCAGTTTGGTGGGAAACTTGCACACGGCGACTGTGAAGAAGCCACCGCGCAGAAGCATCCATAGGATGTTGCACACTGGATGCATGCAGCTCTTCTAAAGGTATTCGAGGCATCAATTCTGCATATTTTTCTACAGCAAGTAGCGCAGTTATTGCTTTATGTGGTCCAGCGCAAAACTTGTCATTGTATGTTGCTACATATCCCTCAGAAACATTGTTATCATTTGCGCAATAGCCATAGAAAAAGCTTTTGAGTGAAGTTTTGCCGCTGCCTTCCCTAAACAAATACATTTCAAATCGATTTTCTAGATAGTCACGAACTGCACAACATGCACATGCTTCCAAGCGTCTTGGCTGACATTGCGTCAACGTTTTGCACGTCCAATCATTCAAACTTGAAGGCGCTGAAAACGATTAAAAAAAGCAAAATTTCGAATCATTGCTCTTTTTGTCCACGCTTTGATTGGTTGGAGACCTGCCTCTCGCGCTTGAAAGACTAGCTGCTTCCGGTGCTCTGCCCAATTTCCATGTTTTTCATTGCAATGAACCAACAAAGCATCAAAGCCTGCAAATCCGCAATGACATAATTGACACACAATGGGAGCCGAAGCAAACGGCAAGTCATCTTTATTTGCGCCAGCATGTTGGGGTACAGTGTGCATAGCTAATGGCAAATCAAGCGGTGACTGCACAGGTAAATAACGAAGTTTCAAATGCAACAAAGGAGTTCGTTTAGACAATCTTAGGTGGTATTTTTCGTGCTTGAAGTTTCCAATGCAGCACACAAATGGAGGCAAGTTGACCTGTAGCAAAGCTTTCATGCTGAATGCCATTTGTTTGCAAATCACGAAAGCAAGCGCTAACAAAGGCTGCAATTTCTTCTTCGGTCATGGCGTTGTGACTGCCATGGCCAGCAAGAAACCGAGCATTGGCTTCGTGATTGTACGGGTTGCCTGCGAATGCAAGAATCTGATCTACCACTTGCGTTTGCGTGACAATTTGGTGATTGTTGCTTGAAGCCGGTCGCCTTCGCGAATTCAAGACCAAGATTATCAAATCTTCTGCAAGCAGAGGTAAATCACAATATTGATGGGCCGGCATTTCGAGCAAAGCTAGGTGTCGTAGCTCACGGCATCCATGCACATACGACTCTTCATTTTGCTGGCTTGGATATCCAAAAGGGACTGCAAAGCTGTTATCAAGGCACTGCTTCAACAAGTCAGGAACAGTTTGAGCTAGCGTCTGCACATCACTACATTCAACTTGTGCCTTCAATATTTTTTGAGCAGCATTCATCACAAAAGCGCTCATTTCGTAATGAATAAGGGTCTTTCTATATTTGCAGGCATTCTGGACGCTGCGTACAATCTTTTCGATAAAACATTCAACGATTGGTCCTCTTCATCTGCCCTTAGCTCGTTTATCTTGAGATGCATACGAAAAACATCTTTTGTCCACCAAAAAGGTGAGTTAGACGGCGTGGAGTTGTCACCGCGAACGTTTGTAGATTTTTCAACGCTTGAAATTGGCGATTTCTGCCCGGCTAATTGCTCCAGCACGGAGACAAGTTTTCTTTTTGGTTGCTTTGTTTCTGGCACCACATCTGGCTTCACTTGCGTTTCCGAAATTTTTGGTCTGCATGCTGGAGGTTCAGTTTGCAATTCTTCTTCGCATAAAGATTCTCTTTTGCGTTGTTGCGTTTCCAGTGTCTGCTTTTGCTTACCGTCCGGCATAGCTGACAAAAGAAGGGCCCATTGTTCTTCAGCTGAAATGCCGGGCACCCATGCATAATGACCACTCGCGGCTGTCGCAATCGCAATTTCTTCTACAACATTTTGAGCGACCAAGAGATCAATGCATGAAGCAGGAACGAGTATTTTGGAATCAAAAGACTGGCCGGGCTTCACCAAAAAGTTTGTTCGTTGCGGTTGCATGTTTTGCGTTTGAATGCCCGCAACGGCTGCACTCATAGCTGAAGACCCGGAACTACAAGCGCCCGCTGGGCAAGGAGTTCGCACAAGCTCCGCCGTAACGGTTGCAGTCTTGGCTGAAGAACTGGAACTATAATCACCGACGGCCTCTGCGCAAAAAGCTTGCGCAATCTCAACAATTTTCTGAAATTTTTGGCCTTCATAATGTCAAATTTGTTTCTTGCAATGTGCCATCTGGTTGCGAGTTGGCGCCATTTGTCGGCGTCTCCTCGTTCAGGGGCCTTAGAATGCAAAGCAACAAAAGTATTGAGGTTTTCTTCTTCAGGGTTTCCGCTGAAATGGGCGGCATTCTGCTGGTAGAACTCTGCGGCTTCTGCGCAAGTGCGCACGCATTGTGTTGCCTTACCTACGCTGGATATTTCTGGGCATGAACCTGCAGCAGTGTTTTCTGCAGAGTTTCTGTTACAAAGTTTATCTCGTCAAGAAGCACATGAACTAGTTTAACGAAATGCTGTGAACAATTACTTTTCAATGCTTCCAATTTGTCTCGTCGTATGTTCCATGCAGCTGCCAATATCCGCCAATTGTTGACCTCGCCTTTTGCTGTTTTTTCCCATAGTGTCAAAAAATGAGCAGGTTTGCATACTCTGTTTTGCCTTCTAAGAAAGCTTGGTTGTCGCGAAATCTATTGCAAGCTTCTACGACGGCGACACGGTCATCAGTAGGAGCTCCACCACAAAGCGGAGTAGGCACCAATCGTACAACAGAGTTCTGCGCAGATTATCCAAAGTGGTGGTTTGAACATACAAATGCCCACCCATCACAAAGAACTTGGCACCATGGTAGCATGCTTTCACTGTTACATTCTTGCAACAAACGCTCTATTGTCCAATGCTTCGGAGCATGCACACAAACTGTTCTGCCCGGAAGGTGCGCCCATACAAAAACTGTCGTTTTTTCTGCTGGGACGTCTCCAAGACAAAGCAAATGGCAATTGATTTTCGAAGTATTAAGATATGCAAGTATGCAACAAGCCAACGCCGTTGATGCGTGACTTTCCAATCAGTGACTCTTCTCAATTTCCAACCTGACACATGGAAGGCCAAACGGCTACCGGCTACCTTCAAAATATTTCACGATAGGTGATTGAATCCACAGTGACTTTTTGATCGGGCACCGCCTGTTGTTCTGGACCGTGTGCCTGACACCACGAACTTTGAGTGCTTCATTAACTACTAGTCTGCTACGAACAGGAAGCCAACTTAGCACAAAAACTACTGCAAGCGAGATCCAGAAAATGACCGAAACCACATCCATGGCGGATGATGCTCACGAATCGAACCGTCGCAACCTTCTTGATTTTGAGCCCGTGTTCTCTGCACATCAATTACTTGTGAAAGTTGTCGCCAACACAGCAATTTGGTGAACACGGCACATGAAGCTTACAGGAGATTCATGTAAATTCCGGCACATTAACCAAAGTGGCAAACTTGTGCCATGATGTCCTAACGAAACATAGCAACAATTTTGGGCCTTGGCACTTCCGCAATTTGATAACTCGGCACATTAACCAAAATGACATTCATCCGTATTCCAGCACGGAGGACTGCAAAGGTGGTTTTGCTCATTGCGCCGTCTGACTGCAAGTCAATTCATTTTGCCAACTCCTTTGCCAATGAGCTGAAAATGGGTTTTGCCTAAAAAATTATTGTTGGATTGCATCACGGCTGCGGCCTTCCCACGAAAGAAACGCC